GAACTTATGGTGGTTAGCTTCAAACAGGTGACTTCTGAGATGGAGGAGAAGAGGTGAGATAGGTATCAATGCAGAAACTGGGAGATGATAGGGGCGCTCAGAGTAGTTTTGATTGCAGGACTCAGTGAAGCTGGAAGTGAAGTCTCTGGAGAGTGGGGAGAGCCAAGTCAGTTGGTGGTCAAACAGCCTTGCTTGGGATTTGTGGCCCAATCCTGTCCAGGTGTTTGGATTTTCTCATTACACAGAGATTAACTGTTGAGCACGAAAGTGGAGCAAGGTGGACTGAGACTGCTTAACTGAGAGGCTGCTTAGGGGGTCAGAGACAACATGAGGATATGGCAGTAACTGTGACAGGCATTTGTTGCCCTTAGGGACCATACCAAGTTTTGGTAGGGGAAGTAGACACACAATGCAGTACAAGTGCATTACAGGTTAGATGGGTACTGTGAGGGAAAAATGAAAGTAGCTGGGCAAGAGCCCTGCAGTCAGCACTATTGTGCAGAGGTGAGGATGGGGAGCAGGTAAGAGAAGAGCTAGAAGTGGTTAGAGGTGGACCCTGGGATGCTGAGTCCTGGGATGATGCGAGTCACACACACAGCAAGGGTCTGGTTTAGAGTTTCACTTGGAGCTGGGGAGGGTGTGTGGGCAGGATACCCCTGAGAAATGATGTGGCAAGAATGTGGCCATTGGGTCCTGCTATCCTAAATCATATTCCACTCAGGCTTTTGTTCTCTGACCCTGAACCCAGATGTAATGACCAGCTCTCACCTCTGAGAGGAGAATGTGGGGTCCTAGAAGCCAGGGAAGGAATGTCTCAAGGAGGGAGGGCACACAGCTGTACCAGTGCTGCTGCTGGCACCACAGGATACAGACTGAGAGCTGGTCATTATATTTTCCCAACCTGCTGATTTTAGTGTGTCCCAGAGTCTTGCCCTTGATTTGACTATCTATACTCCCAGATGTTCTCTTCTGGCTTTACATACACATCTATAATCTGATAGTCCCCATATTGCTTTCCCAACCCAGACCTAATCTCTGAACTCCTAGTTTGCAATCTGCTGCCTCCTTTCCTTGCTATTTCCACCAGCAAATTGCAGGGGAATTTTCTAAGTGGCAACCCAAAGCCATAATGTCCCATATTGAGTCCTTGACCTTCACCCCAAATTTGTTCTTGTTTTTCCTCACCATTGCAGTCAGTGGCAGTTTTATCCTTTTTCCATTTAAGCTCCAAACCTCGGAATTGTCTTTGGCCACAACTCTTTTTGTCACATCCACTTCTATGTCAGCAAGTCACCTATTCTTATCTCTAAAATCTATTAACCCCTGAGAAGTCTTTTAAATACCTTAATGTACAGTGTACTTGGTTCTATGTGTATGAGTATGTATGCTTGTAATACTTATATATATATATATTTTTTTTTTTTTTGGTCCTGGGGATTGAACCCAAGGGCACTTAACTACTGAGCCACATCCCCAGCCCTTTTTTATGTTTTATTTAGAGGGTCTCACTGAGCTACTTAGGGCCTTGCTAAGTTGCTGAGGCTGGCTTTGAACTTGCGATCCTCCTGCCTCAGCCTCCTGAGCCCCTGGGATTATAGGCATGCTCCACCACGCCCAGCTTACTTACAATATTTGTAGAAACTTACTGTATATAGGGCTGGGGCTGTAGATCAGTGTTAGAGCACCTGTTTAGCATCTGTAAGGCCCTGGGTTTGATCCCCAACATGGAAAAAAAAAAAAAAAAACTACAAAATATAATTTCCCAGTATTTTTAATTTGTGTGAAAACAATGATGATTGATATATGGGCATTTATGATAGACTGGATTTGAGTGAGCAATCTTGTGTGGCCTGCAGAGTTCAAACACTCCATGCCTCTTTGAAACTGTTCTGATGGTTGAGAAGTCCTATAGAAAAGGAACCGCAGCCGAGCGCGGTGGCGCACACCTGTAATCCCAGCAGCTCAGGAGGCTGAGGCAGGAGGATCGTGAATTCAAAGCCAGCCTCAGCAATGGTGAGGCGCTAAGCAACTCAGTGAGACCCTGTCTCTAAATAACATACAAAATAAGACTGGGGGTGTGTGGCTTAGTGGTGGAGTGCCCCTGGGTTCAGTCCCCAGTACCAAAAAAGAAAAGAAGAACTGTAGGCCCCTTAGAAAAACCCATGTTCTGGACTAGGGTGTAGCTCAGTAGTAGAAAGCTTGCCTAGGCATGTGAGGCACTGGGCTTGATCCTTAGCACCACATAAAAATAAATAACATAATATAAAGGTATTGTGTCCATCTACAATTTAAAAAAAAAAATTAAAAGAAAAAGAAAAGCCGGGCATGGTGGCAGTGGCACACGCCTGTAATCCCAGCAGCTCAGGAGGCTGAGGCAGGAGGATGGTGAGTTCAAAGCCAGTCTCAGTTTAGTGAGGCATTTAACAACTCAGTGAGACCCTCTCTCTAAATAAAATATTAAAAAAGGGTTGGGGATGTAGCTCAGTGGTTGAGCACCCCTGGTTTCAATCCTCAGTACGAAAAAGAAAAGAAAAACCATGTTCTGGGCTGGTGGTGGCATGCTTGCCTAGGGTGTTTGAGGCCAACCTAGAGTCAATCCCCAGCACCACCAAAAAAGAAAAATCCTTTATGAATGTCTCATTGAGAAAAATATGTCCATTTTATAGGGCTCACTGGGCAGAACAAGCAGGAGGAGGGTGATTGGACTCTATAGTCTGTGCGCCTGGGGGAAGGGAAAGTGGTGTCTGCAGGGAGTACAGTGGGATGTTGGAGACTTTTGACTCCAGGAAGGTGATCCTTGCCCTCTTACCTGCTCATTGGGACCAGGTGAGGCCTCCAGTTCTGAAGAAGAACCTCCATCTCCAGAGGACAAAGAGAACCAGGCTCCAAAACGGGCTGGCCCACATCTGCGCTTTGAGATCAGTAGTGAGGATGGCTTCAGTGTGGAGGCAGAGAGCTTGGAGGGTGAGTTGGGAACAGTAGTGGCAGGGAAGAAAATTGGCCCACAAGACCTCCTCCTGACTCTACTCTGGCACTGCTCTTACTCCAGGGGCGTGGAGAACATTGATTGAGAAAGTGCAAGAGGCCCGAGGGCATGCACGGCTGAGACATCTCTCTTTTAGTGGTAAGTAAAGGGTAGATCAACAGGGACTTGGGGGCTGGGATAACTCCCTGAGGGCAAGGTAGGCCTTCCAGGATTTGATCCATCATCAACCTCTCTCCTCAGGAATGAGTGGGGCCAGGCTCCTGGGCATTCACCATGATGCTGTCATCTTCCTGGCAGAGCAACTGCCTGGGGCCCAGCGCTGCCAGCACTATAAGTTTCGCTACCACCAGCAGGGAGAGGGTCAGGAGGAACCACCCCTGAATCCCCATGGGGCTGCCCGTGCTGAGGTCTATCTCCGGTGAGAGGTCTGGGAGCTCTCAAGGGTGGGAGCTGAGTCTGTAGTATTGAAACCAAGTCCTGGGAAGAAGACACTAGGCTGCTCCAAGAGTGATGGGGTTTTGTTGTTTGTTTTCTTTTCAGTACTGGGGATTGAACTCGGGTACTCTACCAAGCCACACCTCCAGCCCCTCCTCCCATTTTTGAGACAGGCTAAGTTGGACAGTCAGGCCTTGAACTTGTGAGCCTCATATCTCAGGCTCCCAGGTTGCTGGGATTATAGGCCTGCACAACGCCTGGCTCCAAGAGTTATTTCTAACATAACATTCACATCAGAAGAATAAAGCCCACCATTTCCCCTTTTTCTATGTCTTCAGCAGCATATTCCTCCTATGCTGTCAGCAGCAGACCAAGGCCACAGAATCTGTAGGCAGCATGAAGGAATGTATGACCCTCCCTCCCTTCTTCCTTCCCACCTGCAGGAAGTGTACCTTTGATATGTTCAACTTCCTGGCCTCCCAACACCGGGTGCTCCCTGAGGGGGCCACCTGTGACGAGGAAGAGGATGAGGTGCAGCTCAGGTCAACCAGGTATGGAGGGTAAGCTGGGGTGCTGTGGGTGGTCTGAAAGAATCCTAAAGAGGGTGACCAGGGGTAAGAGAGCCCTCTTTCCTGGATTCCACACTTCTGTCTCCCACCAGACGTGCCACCAGCCTGGAACTGCCCATGGCCATGCGCTTTCGCCACCTCAAAAAGACGTCCAAAGAGGCTGTGGGTGTCTACAGGTTAGTGGGGTCAGGGGAGGTGCCCCTTGGGTGGATGGACAGGTGCCCTGGTAGGGGGCGATATGGTGTCTGGCCCTCTGCCCCCCTGAGTTTCCCCTTATCCATCCTACACGGCAGATCAGCCATCCATGGGCGAGGCCTGTTCTGTAAGCGCAACATCGATGCCGGCGAGATGGTCATTGAATACTCTGGCATTGTCATTCGCTCTGTGCTGACTGACAAGCGGGAGAAGTTCTACGATGGGAAGGTGGGCTGCACAGGCCATGGGAATGAGGTGGGTGAAGTGGGCCAGTCCTTGGGGACGAGCACCTGATTCTCTCCACCCATCTCTGTAGGGCATCGGGTGCTACATGTTCCGCATGGATGACTTTGATGTGGTGGATGCCACGATGCATGGCAATGCCGCCCGCTTCATCAACCATTCATGTGAGCCCAACTGCTTCTCTCGTGTCATCCATGTGGAGGGCCAGAAGCACATCGTCATCTTTGCTCTGCGCCGCATCCTGCGTGGTGAGGAACTTACCTATGACTACAAGTTCCCCATTGAGGATGCCAGCAACAAGCTGCCCTGCAATTGTGGCGCCAAGCGCTGCCGACGGTTCCTTAACTGAGGCCGTGGCTGCCCACCACGACTCCTCACAACTCCTCTTGCCATCTTGCCCCTAGCCTGAAGGATCCCTAGTCCCTCAGAGCATCTCACTTCCACCCTCCTGTTCAGAGTGGATGTGGATATGCAGGTGGCAAGGGGCCTGCCTCTACCCTTCCAGCAATTGCCCCCTTCCTGCCCTGGGGGCCCAGGATGTAGATATTGTACAAAGGTTTCTAAATCCCTTCTTTTCTATGCACTTTTTTTATTTAAGAGGGTGGGGTCCCAGGTGGGAACCCCCCACAATAAAGTCTGTCAATGTTTGGAGAGGTGGTCTTCCCATGTGTATGGTGTTGGGGGCAGGTAGGGGCAGGTAGGAGCTGTTGCTTCTCCATACCCCAGCCCTTCCTGAACCAAGGAAGTACATCAGCCTCAACAGTATGTGAGATTCCATGTAGGAATTAGGAGTAAATTGTGTGGGCTGCGAAGTTTTCAAAGCAAGAAATGCCTCACATTTTCTAATGTAGAATGCAGACTGAATGCCTGTGGATGAGCTGTCTGAGGTGCAGCAAGACTGTTCAGAAAGCAGCACTGAGGTCAGCTCTCCCACATGTGGCCTTTCTGTGGGGAGGAGGGGCTTGCATGTTGGGTCTTCTTTGCCCAATTAAGATTATGCTTCAAGAAGTCCCCTTGATGAGGAACAGACAGCAAGTGCTGAATTCAAGATAAACTATTTTTGAGCAGTAGGCCTGGCAAATCCCAAATCAGCCAAGCTTGGACAGCACCCTTAGTGCATCTTCCCTTCCTAGGTGGGCCAGGTGCACACTTAGCTGGCCCAGGGAGGCAGATGGCTCCCTTGCTACCACCATCTCGATCAGGGCCCGCAATGGTGAGCGACTGGGCCGCAGTGAGTAGGCAAAGGTGGACCAAGTAGCAGGCAGCCCGTATCTTGCAGCCAGGTGTCGAGTGGTGCCATAGGCTATACATCCAGCAGGCTCAGGATCCAACAGAACTATCAGTTCCTCCAGCACCTCCAGTTCATCCAGGAGGCGAGACAGGGGCTGTGACTCCAGGCCTGGCAGACCTGGGAAATGGAAAGTAAAAGAGAGGGAGGGGCAGACTTCCAGGTCACCCCTCACCTGTATGTGTCCTGTTCCCAACTAACCTTTGCCTGAGAGTGGAAGCAGAGATACTGTCCCTGTGGTCCTTTTCTCCAGTGCCTCCGGGGCACCTGGGAAAGGTGAGTGTAAGGAGAGGGTGTAGGTGTTGGGGTCTCCACAAACCAAGCCAGGAGAGGGAAGGGAAATGGCTTTTCCCTTGCAGGGACAGTAGTATCTTTGTAGGGGGCGCAGGAGGATCACTGCAAAGATCAGGAGTAGGACCAGCAAGGAGATCAGTACCAAAGACAGAACAAAATTTGGCAGCGTGCTGGTGCTCTCAGTTGTCCATGAGAGACTGGAACTCACTGGTGAACTAGGGGCTCTGGTTTCTTGAGATGACATAGGGCAGGAGCCCTTGGAAGGGATGGGCTTCTGGGAATAAAGATTTGGGAATAAATAGGGAGTCCATGTGCCACGCCTGCCCCAACAGCTCAAGCCCCTCCCACCCTTATATCCTTCGATGGGGCTACATCCCCTGTTCCATCCTGTCCCCACTCCACTCACCCCACATCAGGGCAGACAGGGATGGTGGAGGTAGCCTGGCTCTGTACTTCCCTGCTAGAATCCATTTGCTGGATGACTTTGGATAACATATTCAACCACTCTGAGACCCAGTTTCCTTAATACTAAAGAGGTGATGATAGTAGTACCAACCGCAGAAATCACTATGCAGACGAAATGAGAAACTGCATATAAAATACATCTACCAGCCAGGTGTGCACACTACCTTAACCCAGTCCGCCTTCCCCACATCCCATCAGGCACCCCACTTTGAGGTACTGCTTGGCCCTTCTGTGGGGAGGAGACCTTGTCTTACCTGCTGAAGGCCCACGCCTGCCTCTAAACAAGCCTCACAGGCCTGCCCTACAGCCCTCACTCACCCCTTCCGCGGCTTCCTACCCTCTCCCTGGGTCCAGGCCCTGCCCATCGACCCCCAAACCATGCCTCCCGCCCTACCTTGAGCAAGCCCTGACCCAGACCCTGGAGGCCGCCCAGCACCTCTTTACAACGTTGTAAGGTTCTGCTGCCACGGCTTCCCACGGGAGTGGAGGCTGCGACTCCACTGCTGCAGGGACTACACTGCTCTGAGTTGTTGGGGTTGCAGTGTCCAGGAGGACACTTTCTGAACGGGTGCGTTAAGAAATCGCCGAAGTCGTTAAGCCCGCAGTTTTCCACGAACTCGAAGTCTAGTGGGAAACAAACGCAAGATCCTGAGCGGCTGAGCGAGCCCCAAAACCTCTGCTCTATTAACTTCTCTCCTTTGCCCCATCCCAGTAAGTCCCGCCCCTTCAGCACGCACCCAGCCTATCAGTGCCCACCCTCGCCTTCCCTTCTTTTCACACTGATCCCGCCCCTTTCACCACTATATATAGGCCTCTCTCCTTTTTCCTCCACCCACTCAGCACCAGGCACTGCCCATATCCGAATTCACCCACAAAAAGGCCAACCTTTCCACACAACCGCTACCCCCCACCCCGCCACTAGCCGGCCCCATCTCTGTCCTCCACATAGGCTTGGCCGGCCTTGTCTTACCTGCTGAAGGCCCACGCCTGCCTCTAAACAAGCCTCACAGGCCTGCTGTGCTACAGCCCTCACTCACCCCTTCCGCAGCTTCCTACCACCTCACGGACTGATGCGTATACCTAGTCCGCTCCTCACCTGGGCAGGGAGGTGGCCCGAAGCGCTCTAAGCACCTGCTGCAGCACTTGTTGTCAGGGTTCCAGTACTCCAGGTGGCCGCAGTACTGGGAGGCTTCCGGCTGTGGTAAGGCCTGAGCCATAAGCAGCAAGGCGACACGGAGGAAGCGTCCGGTCCCCATCTGGGCAGGTCCTACACACCGCAGGCTGTGGCCACAAGACTTTCAACCACAGCTCTTCTGCCACACTTTCCAGAAATCCCGGGGGAAGAAGGAAGTAGGAGAATTCCTTGCGGGGAAGGAATTCCCTGGCCTCTTTGGAAGCAGGAACCTAACCCCCACCAGAGCCCCCAGGCCAACTCCTGGTCCATTATCAGGACCCAAGAGGCCTCAAGATGGCTAAGGAGAACTCTGGATCTGGTATCCACCCTCCTTTTTCCATAGCACCTGGCTGCTGTGGAGAATATTCTGTTATTAGAAGCGCTTAGAGCCAGCCAGGCCATGGTGCCCTGTAGGCCTGTTACTCAGAAGTTGCCTGGGAGGACTGCTTGAGCCCAGGAGTTGGGAGATCAGCCTGAGCAAAATAGCAAGACCCTGTCTTGAAGGAAGGAAGGAAAATTGCTTAGAAAAGTAAACCCCTTAGAACAGCACCTGGCATATACCAAATTCAATTTAAGTGTTAAGTATTAACACCATCTCAAGAGTGGTGGTCTTCAAGAACCCATCCCTAACTCACTAGAGACTCCCACTGAACTACCAACCACCTCTCCCTTCCTGACCCTAATCTCTTCCATGTTAGGAATCCTCCAATCCGCCATAAACAGATACCTCCCCCTTGAGGATGTCTCAAATGGAGAAGCTGAGGTTTCCAGGACAAAGGTATCCCCACCCCACCAGTACAGACCTGAGCCCAAGCCTCTCTCACATTAGTAGTTCGAAGTGCTTCTGCTGAGCGTGTGGCTGGAAGCCAGCAGTTTTCTCTCTCTTTCTCTCTCTCTCTTTTTTTTTTTTTATCGGAAGTGTGTGGAAGGAAACTGCAAACCACAGATGACGCTCTAAACCCTCAGTGTGGAACTTTATTAGGTGAGGCACAGTAGAGAAAATCCTTGTTATAAAGATTACTTAATGGACTTCTGGAGCCTGGGGAAGATGGGGCTAGAGTGAAGGGGAGTTTGAGGAGGGGTCCTTGCTAGAAACATCTGTGACTGTCAGGGGTGAAGGGCAAGGGGGCCAGTCTTAGAAACAGTATGCCGATGGTCTGGGGAATGGCGACAGTTCCTTTCTCGGGGACGGTGGCCAGTATGGGATCTCAGGGGTGATCTGGGGACAGGAAGGGAGAGAACTGGGTTAGAGCCATTGGGAGTGGTGCAAAGATTCCCCCACGCCTCTCTGCTCTGGGATGGGCAGGGTGGTCATTAATATAACTAGTGTTTCACAAGGTGGTCTCAGGAAAGGCACTCGGGGATCAATCTCAGGGTTGGAGATCTAGGCTGGTCTTGGATTTGAGGTTCAAGCTGGTTTGGGGATTGAGACTGAGGTACTAGTTTTCAGATAGAGCTCACGACTATTCTTAGGGTACAAGAGTCTTGGGACACTGACTGGGATTTAGGATTAGGCTTATCTCAGGGCCCTTAGGTATAAGAAATCTTGACAGACTGGTCCCAAGTTACCTGTGCCTAGGTCCCCGCCCATAGAGCTGCTACCTGAGGTTCCATGATATGGGTCGCAGGTGCATGAAGTTGCAAAAGCCACCTTGGGTACATTCCCTGAGTAGAGGATAGAAGGATTCAGGAAACTTTCCTCACTGAGTGTGTTTGAGCCTTCCAGCACACTCAAGAGTCTGGGACTCTGAGTGTCTGTCCCACCCTTAAACTACCATACCCCATTTCATACTGTCGACAGCATGACTCCTAAAAGTCGGTGACAGGAGACAGCTCATCATGCACAGCCTGACTGTTGAACCAGAGGTTACTGAGTTCAGCCACTGCCCGCTCTGCATCTTCATCCTGCCAAAACTGGAGAAAGTGGGTGGCTGTCAGCAGCAGAACTTGTGATCTTCAGGGAACTAGATAGTAGCTCTGAGGCTAGACAGGATTTAACTTAGTAATGGACCTCAAACTGTGAAGTTTCAGTGATGGTCACCAGGCATTGAAATGCTTCCATTTCAGGGCTGGGGAAAGGGGGGCTGGCAGCAAGCACCTTGACATAGACATTGTCCACGAGGTGGTCCCCCAGGCTGTCACACACATTCATCTCTTCAATCTCCCCATACTTCTCCTGCAGTTCTGTGAACACCTCCTGCAGAAGACAAGGAGAAACTCAGTTAAGCTGGCAGAGGAAACCCAACCTACCCCTGCTAACTCTCACCTCAAAGAAGTTATCATAGTGTTCCTGCACCTCTACATCGCTCACGTGACCTGGAGGTGGGGAGAAGGGTGAAATCAGGAGATGTTCTTCCTGCAAGGCTGTCTGCCCTGCTCCTGTTCTGTCTAGTCCCTTACTCACAATGAGATCCATCTGCGGTTTGGGCGGTGTTCTGTGATTCCGATATAGGTTGAGCAGCACTAGGGTCTGAACAGAATTTAAAGGGGGCGGGACCTGAGCTCAGAGGGCAGGGCTTCATGCAGAGAGGGAAGTACCCAAGTTTGGGAGTGGAACCCTGCACCAGAGAAGAACTCTAAGCATCGTCAGTGCATCTGCGGTGCTTGCCCCTTAGAAAGAGGTGGGGGAGGACCTAGAGACAATAGACGGCCCAGGGGCACAGTCTGTCATGGGGGGGTGTGTAGCCAAGTCTCAGGGAGCGGGCGTTGAAAGCTAAGGGGAGGAACCTGCAGAGACGGCCTACCAGAAAACAGCCGGGCGGTAGGCTGGACCTTAGAAATACGGAAAACGTGGGACCTAGTGATGATGGACAGCACACGGGGAAGAGCCTGAAAGTGGTAGCCAGCGGGGATCTGAGTCCGGACTCATCTGGCTGAAAGTCGGTTTATTGTGAAGCCGGGAGCGTCGGTCCCGTGCCGGCAGGCCCCGATCTTAAAGTAAAAAGAGCAGTTAACCCTGGAAGAGGTGCAAAGACAGTAGTGAATTAAGGGCCGGGAAGGTCGGACACCCCAGAAACACCGTCCCCAACCTTCCGGCTACCAAGGACCAAAGCCCTAGCCCCCAATTCTCGAGAGGACACTCCCTGCGCCTGTTCTCACTTGTCCTTCTCAGTCCCGAATATCGAAGCTAAATATTCAGCCATTTTCACTCGAACCCTCTAGCTTGCCCAATCCTTACATCACTTCCGTTACTTAGGAGCGTTGGGAAGTGTAGTTCGTCTCTGCCTCCGCACGCTTATCACGCGCTCACAAACTCCCTAGTGCGCTTGCGCATTGGAGGTCCGCGTCCCCCTCCCACAAACACCGCTGGGAGGTTCCTGAATGCGCATGCGTACAGCGTTGCCTCTCCAAAAAGAAAGAACTACAAACTCCAGCGAAACCTGCGGCACCTCTCGCAAACGTCCGTAGTTGAAAATACCAAAGGCATCCAAGGTAAAGGAAATAAACTCCACTGGTGAGTTTTGAGTCGCTTCGCGAACCCCAATAAATATAAAGAGCTTCTTTCACTCGTCCTGCTTGCTAATGGGAGCTGTGTGCCCTTCTTTCATCAAACCCACCTCTGCATTTGTCTCTGATTTGTCGTAATAGGGGCGTGGCTGTTCGTGATCTCTGCATCTGTTACTTGGGTCTTGCCCCGCAGACCCTTAAGAAGACCCGGGTCTAGCGCAAATATGAACTTGGAGCGGGTGTCCAATGAGGAGAAGTTGAACCTGTGCCGGAAGTACTACTTGGGTAAGGGCCAATCCCCGAGGGTCTCGGGAGAAAAGAGGGGACTGAATTAGAGCGCTTGAGGGATAGAGGGCCTAGGGGCTTGGATTCTTGGGTCCCTAGGGGTAAAGCAGCTGGAAACTCCGACTCCTGGATCTGAGGGAAGGGAGCACCAGGGTCCTGAGGAAGGAGGAAGTTGAGACCTCATCCTATAAGAAGTTGAAGAATCAGATTCCTGGATCCCAGGGAGGAGCCAGGATCCCTGAGCCCCTGACAGCAGCGATCTCCTGTTGAACTAGATCTTCTGTGTGGGCTTTGGTAGAGATCCTTCTTGCTTTATAACCCAGTGTGGATTATCTTCCTAGGTGGGTTCGCGTTTCTGCCTTTTCTGTGGTTGGTCAACATCTTCTGGTTTTTCCGAGAGGCGTTCCTCGCCCCAGCCTACACAGAACAGAGCCAAATCAAAGGCTGTAAGTCTAGGGCACCAGAAGAAAGGGGAAGTGGGGGGTGGGGGTGGATGCTCCAGAATTCGGGGATCTGTGAAAGAGAAGAGAGGGATGGTCAGGGTGAGTCCAAAGAGCATCTGGAGGCCAACCCTCCTCATTCCTGTTCCCCATTATAGATGTCTGGCGCTCAGCTGTGGGCTTCCTCTTCTGGGTGATTGTGCTCACCACCTGGATCACCATCTTCCAGATCTACCGGCCCCGCTGGGGTGCCCTTGGAGACTACCTCTCCTTTACTATACCCTTGGGCACTCCCTGACAACTTCTCCACAGACTGGGGACCTGATTTCTCCCTGAATGGGCTCCTCTGCTTTAAGTTCACTTTTAAGCCCCAAAGACATGTGTCCATCACCTGTCATCTCTGTTGACATCCCCAATAAATAACCCTAACTTTTGATATTGACTTCCTGAGATCTTTGGACGTTGAAGCATAAAATGATCATTAACATTCAAAAACATTTAGTGAGTGCTTACTTTGTACCAGGTTTAGTGCTTCACACATTATATGCATTTCCCCCCCCCCCCCCACTGAAAACTAATAACCCTCTGGAATAGTAACTTTCCTATTCATGAACCCTATTTTACAGATGAGGAGCCAAGAAACAAATAACATGTCCTCAGCGATCCAGTAATGGTGCTATCCTGTAATGGTGGTTGTGAATTCAAAAACATGACTTTCTGGGCAGAGGATGTGGCCCAGTGGTAGAGCATAAGCCTAGAGTGCATGAGGACCTGGGTTTGATTCTTGGCATCACAAAACTAAACAAAAATATGAATTTCCTACTCTGGGCCCCAATATTCTCATTAGAATACAAATCAGGATGCTACCTCCTAGGAGTTTATCTAGGCCAAGACATGTGCTAAGTGGAAATTTTTCATTCTCTGAAGGAAGTGTTGTCTGCAGCAACAGAAGTGTTCGAGAACTTTCTTAGAGAAGCCTTCCTTGAGCTTCCTATTTAAAACTTAATTCCTTTCTTGCTCCCTGTTACCATTTCAAGCTATATTCTTTCTCCTATCATCATACATTTGGAATATGTTACCTGTTTATTGCCTATCTTCCATCCTCCAAAAGATAAGCTCCATTAGGGCAAGGATTTTTGTTCACTGCAATTTCCCCAGTGCCTAATTATTTGCTAAATGAATGAGATTGTACCTGAAATTAACATGTAGCTGGGCATCTAACTAGTGCTCCGTAAGAGGAGGCCACTCTAATTTAAGACTAGTCTTCCTTTTAGGAACCAGAGGGACTCCTACGGTTAGTTAAACCCTGTAAATAGGTAAATCGGTGTTCCCCAAACCTAACACTACGACTCCCCAAAAGCCTTGCGATGCCGGAGCTTTTGTTTCCCACCGCGCCCCGCGAGGCAAGGGCGGCGTTACAGATTGAGTCTCGGGAGCTAGGACTACACCTCCCAGGAAGCACCCCGGGTTGTCGTTGGTTTATTTCCGGAAGCGGCAGCCCAAAAGGTGGGACCTAAGGCTGGGAGCCGTGGGGGGGGCAGCTGTCAATTGGCCAGCGAACGAAATTGACGACTTGGCTGACTAATGGGAACAAGAGACTGTGGAAGGGGCCCACCCACAGAAGGGGAAGAAGGGAGGCGGCGGCCACTGCTGCAGTCGCGGCTGGACACTGCTCAAGCTGGAGGGCCTTCCGTACACGGAGCTTGCCTTTGACCTCTCCCCGCTCGCCTCTTGCCTCGATTTGTGACACTAGGCACTTTTGGGTTTTTTGTGACCCAGCTAGCCAGACTCAGAAGCCAAACCATGTTCCCGGTGAAGGTGAAAGTGGAGAAATCAGGTGAGAACCCGGAGATCGGGGGCCTGAAAGGGAGCACTGTGCTATTCAGGGTATTGGAGGTCTGCTAGGCAGGAGTATCGCGAAAAGGCGGGCTAGGTGGCTTCTGCTTGCAGCCCATCTGACAATCGCAATATCAGGCATGGATCATTCCATCCCCGTCTGTGCTGACAGTAGCTTTGAGATTGAATGGTGGTGGTTCAGACAGCGTGGTTTGGTAAGAGAAGGAGATTTTCATGCGGTAACTGAGAAGGGCCCTTTTCTTGCCCCCACCTCAGTTTCTCCGATCCCAGCAGTGATCATGTGTCAGGCGTTGTGCTGTGAATTTGAAAAATAAGGACTCTTAACCCTCAAGTCACTATATTCCAATAATCCTAGGAATAAGGAAGTGCATTGGATAGGGAAACAAGCTCAGACAGAAGAAGTCATTTTGGGTTGGGGCAGAGCTGATGGGTATCCAAGACTGGCCTGGTAAAACCAGTGGGGAGGCAAAGAATTCAAACAAAAATGTAATAGTCGAATGACATCCGATGAATATTATTAAATATAGAAGACAGAAGCTGAGTTTGGTGGTGTAGTTCTTATCCTGTGGAGGATAAGAGAACACTTGAGCCTTGGAGTTCAGGGCCTGCCTGGGCAATATAGCAAGACTTTGCCTTTTAAATCTTAAAGAGAGAAGTTAAGGAGATCAGGAGTGGGAGTGAGGCAAGGTACAGCAGAATGCTATGAAAATGATATTAGAGGGAACTGCCAAACAAAGGAAGTAGTTTTGAAGAAGGCCCGAAAAAGGCCCAGAAATAGAAGCCTTACCTGGTGAGTTGGGGGGACAGCAGGGAAGCCAAATAGGCTGAAGCAGAGTGAGGTAGAGAGGAGGTTGAAGCAAAGAGGTGATCAGAGTTGACAGATCTTGTGGGCCCAGGTGAGGACTTAGGCTTTTGCTTTGAGAGAAATAAGGATCCAAGGGAGGGTTTTGAACTCAAGTGGCTTAATAAAGGACCTTCCCAATGCCAAAAAATATTCAGACCCCTTAGGGGTCTGAACACAAATGATGGTAGGGGCTAGAGATAGACCTGTGAACTCCAGATTGAATGAAGACTTCACCCTCTGGGGGGTGCTGTGGAGTCCTGGAGGATTCTAAGCTGGGGAAAATCAGGGTCTTGTTTTTGATTTTGATTTTGGAAGTTCCCCTGGCTACCTTGAGATACTGAGGTTAGGATCCCAAGGAAAAGAGAAGACAGGACCAGGATGGGCAGGATAGAACGGGTGAAAGAGGGAAGACACTCAGGAGGCCAAGTGGTCAAGCCATGGGGTTAGAGGGCTGAGATGGGGGAGGGACAGGCGTCCATGGTGAGACTAATGAAGGGACTGGGAGACAGTGGGGTCACCCTTCATGGTGGGATCCAGGAAGAGGGGTAAGTTGAGAGAGACACCGAGGCCAGTGTAGGGCCCGGTGCACAAAAAGAGCACAGGGGATGTCCAAGGGGAGGTGTTTAAGTTGTAGGATCTACAAGTTGGGGTTCAGGAGAGAAGCCAAGACTGGGACAGAGATGTGAACATGATGCAAGGCTCTTTGCTACAGTCTCAGCTGCCCCAACCCCCATCTTCAAACTGTCTCTCCTCTAAGGGATGTTGGGAATCCCTGTATCTCTCAGTCTCTGCCGGCTGTACCCTTTTAGCATGCCTGGACCAGGCAATAGGATTGGCCCTGGTGGAAATATACATAGAGAGCTGACTCCTGCTTGGTACCCTTTGCCCCCAGAGTTGGAGATGGCCAAAGCCCGGAACCAACTGGATGCTGTTCTGCAGTGTCTGCTGGAGAAGAGTCACTTGGACAGGTTGGAACCTGGTCCAGGGTGGGATCATGGGGCTGGAGCTCTGGCAAATTGAAACTCCTGATCCTGGGTGGATCTGGGTGGGGACCCCAGAGGCTAATTTTGGGAGAAAGGTGTCTCATGGGGAAGCCACTTGATGCAGTCACACACACACCAGGCCCTAGGAACCCTGAGCCAATAGTTCTCTTCTGCTACTAGGGAGCGTCTGGACGAGGAAGCCGGGAAAACCCCCTCAGACACCCACAACAAGTAAGCTGTTTTATAGGATCTGGATCCGAGAATGTGGTGGGTAACTCCTTTCCTCATCTATTCCCTGGCCACTCTGCCTATGCTTTCTCTGATACACTCCTAACCACAGTACATACACAAAAACTGTGATAGAAGCAGTTTAGGTCCCCTCATGGTTGGCATCTAGAACCCCAGTGTATGAGGGGGACATAAGACTCAAGGGGTCCCAGGGTGCCCTTTCAGGGGGTTTGGAGCAGGCATTTGTTTGAAGGTCAGCCTGCTAATGCCCTGTCTTTCCCCACAGAGATTGCTCCATCGCAGCCACTGGCAAAAGGTAAGGTGGCAGGGGCCCCAGCCAGTGGATGTGGTTTCCAGCCCTCACCCCTGTCTTGACACTTCCCTTCCTCACACAGGCCATCTGCCCGCTTCCCCCACCAGCGGAGGAAGAAGAGGAGGGAGATGGATGATGGGCTAGCTGAGGGAGGGCCTCAGCGATCCAGTGAGTAGGCAACCCCTAGAGGGTGGGTGGGCAGGGAGCCAGGGGCTACATAAGGATGCTCACTTACCTCCCACCCCCACCACCCCAGACACATATGTGATCAAGCTGTTTGACCGGAGTGTGGACTTGGCCCAGTTCAGTGAGAATACACCGTTGTACCCAATCTGCCGAGCCTGGATGCGCAACAGCCCCTCAGTGCGCGAGCGTGAACACTCACCCAGCTCACCACTGCCCCCACTGCCCGAAGATGAGGAGGTGGGATGGGTGGTGGGCCCCAGCCCAGCAGCCAGGGAGGGCAGTGGGTAGACAGGCTCAAGGGACCCTCCCCTTAAACTAGTGGTTGCCAAGTATAGGTCCCTAAGTCTCCCAAATGAATGTTGGACCAGGTGAGGCACACAGATGTACATCCTCAGGCTAGGGGTATGGACAGAGGTCTCCTGAGGCAGACAGACATGGCAATGTGGCCTTAGGGGAGAGGCAACAGGGCTCCCTCGGGCCAAGACATGACCTCCATTATTGGGTTCCCAAGGGCTAAAGGGCTGAACATGGATCCTTAGTACAGATAGGTGAGGCTACTAGGTATAGCATGGACCCTCTGGGCTATGGAGGGATAGATGGGGATCCATTAATCATCTGGCCTGAGAGGGTAGACAGGGGTCCCCAGGACATACATATGACCCTTTGAACTATTAAGATGCAAGCAGAGCAGGGCATGGTGGCACATGCCTGTAATCCCAACAACTCAGGAGGCTGAGGCAGGAGGATTGCGAGTTCAAAGCCAGCGTCAGCAACTTAGAGAGGCCCTAAGTAACTCAGTGAGACCCTGTCTCTAAATAAAATACCAAAAAAAAAAAGGCTGGGGTGTGGCTCAGTGGTTGAGCACCCCTCGATTCACTCCCCAGTACAAAAAAAAAAAAAAAAGATCAGAGCAGAAATGATGACTACCTGACCACCAGTAATAGTGGAAGAGTGTTCCTAGGTGACACAGATGTGACCTCCCACCCCAGGATGACAGGTATAGATGGGGTTTCCTGGGCTGGTCAAAGGGTAGACAAGGGTTCTTAAGCTGACAGGAGAAGACAGGTATCCCTGGAGCAGACAGAGCTGACTTCCAGGCTGTTTAAGGTATCTGTCCTTCAGATATGAGTCCTCCAAGTATAGATTTCCCAGTGAGCCCCTTAAGTCTATTGTCTGGGAAAGGCAAGAAGGATAAAACGGGTACTCCCAGCCCTTTGCTCTGATTCTCTTGGGCCTGGTATGGGGTATTGTATCTCTAGGGTTCAGAGGTCGCCAACAGCAAAAGTCGTGATGTGTACAAGCTGCCTCCACCTACAGCCCCTGGGCCACCCGGAGATGCCTGCAGATCACGCATTCCATCCCCACTGCAGCCTGAGACCCAGGGCACGACCGATGATGAGGTGGGTATAGGGGGCTGGCCTGAGGCTGTGGGTCTTGTTGTGGGGCTCCAGGATGTACACCTGATCTCTATCCACACAGCCCTCTGAGCCCGAACCTTCACCCTCCACACTCATCTATCGTAACATGCAGCGCTGGAAACGCATCCGCCAGAGGTGAGGTTCCCCCAGCTGGCTTCCCCCCATGACCTCTTTTTCCATTTACTGAATCCTCACTCTACCTCACCAGGTGGAAGGAGGCATCCCATCGGAATCAGCTTCGTTATTCAGAAAGCATGAAGATTCTACGGGAGATGTACGATCGACAGTGACATTCCCCGCTCCTCCAATAAATATCCCCCAACCGTACACTAGACTGTGTTCCAGCCCTTTCTTCCCAGCCCAAACAAAGCAGTTAACAGTGCTGTAGCACATTTATTGGGGAGTGAGCCTAGGAAAGAATGGGGGCATGGGGTGACGGGTCATTTGGTGAGGGAATGAAAGAGTGGCCACTTGGTTGGGTCCTGGAGGATGAGGTGTGGAGGGTGGATTGGAGGTCAAGACAAAGGGACTGGAGAGTTCTAGTTAACTGAGGAGGGGGCCCGACACATCTTTTGTCTAGGGAGGTTGGGGGGCAACCTATACAGTTTTGAGTTTGCAGGTCCTAGTTGGCCTGGGATAGGTGTCCCAAAGGTTGGGAATCAGAAAAGAGCTCAAGAGTCTGGGTGGCTGGATGAGGTATCAAGTCAAAAAATGGGGTGTGGACAGTGGAGTGTCTGCTTTTAGGAAAAGATCCAGAGTATTGGGGCATAGCCCTAGACTGGAGTGGGAGGTTTGCAGTCTGGGCCGTTTGGGGAGGGGTTATGCCTGACCAAGCAGGGCTACAAACATCATAATCCGGTGTCAGAGTGTGTGTATGTGGATAAAATTTTTTTCAGCAGTTAGAGGGAAGTACAGCAGGGAATCTTGAGGGGATATAAGACAAGAAAGTGGAGTCATTGCTAATGGAATCTAGGCTGGGATCTAAAAGCTGGACGGGGGTGTCATTGGAAGGGTCTAGGCTATTAAGGTTGGGTCTAGGGTGAAGGTCAGGACGGAATCTTGATTTGGATGGAGGGACTGTCTTGGCGCTGGGACTTCTGGCTGGGCGGAGTCAGATCGGCTTTAAGAAAAGGAGCCTAAAGCGGCACCCCTCGCAACCACGGGGTTCAAGCGTGCCTGGACCTCTATTTGGCGGCAGGCGGTGGCGGCAGAGGGGCCTGGGATGACGCAGGTGCAGCCTGGATGGAGAGGACGCCCTCAGGGGACAGAGCCGAGGTCACGGCGGCAGGATCCACGCCCGGTGGCAAGCGGTAGCGACGGTGGAACTCGCGAGCGATGAATCCGTGCTCGTCCTAGAGGGCAGAGAGGCTTCAGCTGGCCCGCCCCTTCCCGCAGGCGCCCCACCCCTCGCGCCTGCGCACGTCTTCCGCTCCAACACGCCCGCGCTCACCGGGCGCTCTTCATGGCGCGCATGCACCTCCACGTGTTCGCCTACCACCTTGACAGCAATTTCCTCCGGCGAGAAGTGCTTCACATCCAGCAGCACCGAGAAGTGACCGGGGTCTGTCGGCACCTGCGAACAGCGGGCGCGGGGCCGGGCGGGACTGTCATCAGAAGGGGCCGGGATCCCCAGACCCGGCGAGGCCCCACCCCTGTCGGCTCCATAACTACTGCTGACTCTGGGGAGTCCAGTTCCCTAATGAGAGTCAGTGAGGACCTCGTAACCCACTATAACGGGTATCCTCCCATCCCCTCTAATCACTGGATTCCCCTCACACAGAGAGTGATAAGGTTCCCTTCCCCTACAAGGTCAGGTCCAAAGCCATCCTAGGGCGAGAAAGCCTGTCCCTTCCCCCAGTGTAAAACTCCATAGTCACTCTGCCCCCGCCCCAGCAGTCCTAACTCCCCACCCCCGCCAGAAATTGTCAAGATGCCTCTAACCACAAGTTTCCAGAGTCCTTCTAAACCCTCCAACTCGGGTCACCTAACCTCCTGCGCTCTCAGCAGTTTCTCTGGTACCCTTCCCCTGCTTCAGGGTGGCCAAGATGCCCTTCATCAAATCACAGGATCCTTTCTCTCCTTTACCTCTCCAGGAGACATCCGGGGAAGCACACACAACCTCCAAACTAACAACAACAAGACTAACAACAACACTGCAACCATTCAAGAATCACCGCCTGACCTTTCCCCCAGATTCCCTGGGTCACCGGCATCCTTCAGAGCCAAGACTCCCCTCCGAGCGACCCAGCCTTTCCACTCCCCTTAGAACTACGAGTCAATCCCCCCACCCCGCCCCTTCTGAGTAATGGGGACCTCGAACTCTCTTCAGCAATCCAAACTGAGGGAACTCCAGAAACCCTGGGTGGTCGCACTCTCCACTACGCTCAAAGTCATCCCAGCACCCCCTTGGGGTGACCCAGACCTCTGGCTTTGAAAGTAGTCGAGTTGCCCCCTCCCCCGTGCCTGGCACCTGGGCGGTGGGCAGCGCCACGCTGGGGGCGCGCAGGTAGTAAGGGGCGAATGCAGCAGGACAGAGCGCAGCCAGCTCCGCCTCCAGCAGCCCCTCGCCGAAACGCTGGTCAAAGAGGCGTCCGGGAGTGGAAATTCCCGGCAAGGGGGCCGAAGCGCGACGTAGCCAAGACGGCTGCACAGGCACCGGGATTTCCATCCTGTTCCTCCACCGCCGCCCTGGATCCCGCAGTGCCCCTGCATGCACAGGCGCTGATTTATAGTGCGTCTTGTGCCGGCCCCTCCGCGGGCCTCTCGGGGACACTGGGACCGTGGCCAGATTCGGCCATTAAGAGCCTTATTTAGAAACCCCAATAATGACTTGGCTATTTATTAAGCGCCTGCTGGATGCTTGGAAAGGACGCCAGGAAAATGTCATTAAGATTCTTCAATATCTTGAAAGGGAAACTAAGGCTAAGAGGGCGGAGCCTTGAAGAGTATGGAGAACACAAAGTAGCAGTTGGGACCGAGAGACGAAAAGTCCACCGAAGAGTTCTCAGTTCTCTTAACCCACCACCACCCAGCTGGCAGCTCTGAGGATGACGCAGATGGAGGTCTTAGGAGCAGATTGCTGGAGAATGCAGTAGCCGGGCCAGGCTGTCAGAAGGACACAAAACAGACCCTACCCCCATCTTCAGCCCTGCCTTGGGCCCAGCCCCCCCAGCAGGCTGGGCCTAATTCGGTGCCTCTGACTCAGCTTCGGGTACACAGAGGCCCGGGGGCGTGAGCACTAACTCTCCAGTCTGGCCCCCCAGGGGCCTCGCGCTGGGGCCCGAAATAGCTCATTTTGATCCCGCTACCTGGGCCAGGAGCCCGGGCCTGGCAAGAGGTGCAACAGCTGCTCTGCAGCAAGAGGGAAATTGTTGGATGACCATCAGGGCGGTCTGACTGGCCTGATGGAGGTTAGAAAGGAGAAGGAGTACCCGATTACCCTTTCAACCGGTAGAACACATTGGACTCGGGCGGGAAAGAACTTTCGGCTTCCACAAGAAGGGGCGGCGTGACAGCAGGACTACAGGAAAATAAGAATCCTTTAGAACGCCTCCAACTCCAAGCCCTTCCCATTGGTCCACAGTCTTGCCAATTATTGATGTACGCTCCAGGTTCTCCAATCAAACGCGCTCTCTCAAGCATGCCAGCGTTATAGACAGTCAGTGAAACACCTCCCATTAGCCCCTTTCCAACTTTTATTTTCCTGTCTCTCATTGGTCTCCTTGGAGGCCGCTCTCTTCCGGAGCGGGCACTCCCAAAGAGGGGCGGGGCTGATGGAGCATTGCTAAGCGACAAGATGCGCACTGGGTTTGTCGGGTGAAGAAGCGGAGCTGGCACAAGCGCCCCAGAGTAGCTGCAGGATGGACCGTGGGTGAGGCCGATTACTCTTCCCGAGATCACAAGAGGTTTGGGAAGGGCCGAGGGTGAGGGTAGCACCAGTTTATGCTGGAGTCCAGAGTGTCGGGTTCAACTGCATTCAAACTACAACTTCCAAGATGCTCCACAGCCTTTGGCTGCCCCCCGCCTTGGACTTCACAGTCCCCGTTATCCCTAAATGCCTTATGTTCTTTTCTCTGAGTACCTGTAAAGGATTCTTTCCCTTAAGGTCTTCTAAGAAGACATGGAAATTGAGTTTTTAAATTTTGAAATTGCCCTAGACACCCAAGGGTGTTGTGTTTGAACTTTCTTGGTTAGGCGGAGCCTAGTGAATCATGGGAATTGTAGTCCATTTCCTAGTGTCCCCCAAGGGTTTATGGGAAATGTACGGGGTACGGTCTAGTCCCGGGTTTTTTGTTGTTGTTGTTCGTCTTTTGTTTGTGTTTTCTTTACCAGGTATGGGGTGGTTGGGGGGGGGGGAACTCAGGTGTTGTGACCACCTGAGTTACAGTACCCAGTCTTTTTTTTTTTTTTTTTTTTTTTTGGAGACAGGGTTTTGCTAAGTTGCAGAGGCTGGACTGGAACTTGCGGTCCTCCTGCCTGTAAGCACCACCAGTCCCAGCCTAATCTCGGTTCTTAACCTGAGCCCCTCTTAAAAATCACCTAGGAAATGTTTGGGAGATAGAAATTATAATTATCCTGATAAGATCATTATACATTGTCTACTTGTGTTGAATTATCACACTATACTTCATAATGTGTACAATTAGTGTGTGTCAAAAAAAAATTAAAACAGGCCGCAGACCACATTTTGCCTTTGGGCTACAGTTTTTAAAAAATTCACCTGGGACAATGGGAAAAAGATAGGGATGCCTAGACCCACTTCCTGATATTCTGATTCTGTCCGTCTGGAGTAGGAACGGCTTGTTTGTAATTGTAAACACGCCCCCACCCCACCCTCCCACCCCCACCAAAAAAGTGGATCCAGAGTTGAGAACCACCAACTACTGGTTCCTAGGTTTTTCTGGCTCTCCAAGGGCTCATGGGACTCGTGGCTCCACTATCATTATCTTAAATGTGCATCAGTGCTTCATGGGAATTATAGTCCATCTCTTCCAGGAATCCATGAGAATTGTCTCTTCTGCCTTCCTCTTCCATGCTCTGCCTTCCAATCCCATTCTTTCCTTGCAGCCTGTCAGTTTTCTCCATCCAAGAAAGCCCCTTTGGAGATGCTTCCCTGGGTGGAGGCCACGATTGGCCATCCCAAAGCCAGACCCAGCAATCCAAGGTGAGGACTGCCCACAGAGAGTAGTACCTCTAGTAGGGAGGGAAGGAAGGCTTATATTGAGAGATGGGGATGAGACATTAGGAGAAAGACCCTCCTTACCTCCCCATAACCTTCCCTTGTACAGCTCTCTACTGCTTATATCCCCCATCGTTCCCCCAATCACCTGAGGTTGCTAACAGTGATAACATTGTGGGATATGCTTCCTCCCCTCTGAACTGAGACTTCACATGTTTCTTTGTTCCCTACAGGAAGGACCCTTCAGACCTCACTTTTTTCTTTGTGTGTCCTCCCCTATCTTAGACTCTGAGCCCATCCAGGCCCCAGAGATCCAAGCTCCCACGAGCTCCCAAGGCTGCAGCCAACTCCCCTGAACTGTTTGAAGAGTCCTGGCCATCCAGTTCAGGGACCTCTTCCCCATCCAGCACCACTGAGAAGGCCTCTCCACCGCCTACCCTGATTGACAGTGGGGACTCAGTGATGGCCAAGTAAGTACCAGAAAGCCTGAAGGGAAAGGAGAGTTTGGGTCAGGGGAGGGAGAAGATAATAATCATCGCAGGCAGACTGTTTATACAGTGCTCTTATAGGGCCAGGTGCTTCATGTGTGTTATGGAGGGCTCTGAAGTTCAGCTGTGTGGGTTCAAGTCCCAGATCTATCACTTACTCTCTGTATGATCTTGGCCTCAGTTTTTTTTTTTAATCTTTAAATTGGGGATATTAATAGCACATACCCCTAGGGCTATTTTGAGCTTTCAGTGAGTTACTGTATCAAATGAACACTTGAATTTGTAGGTTAAGGATCAGCTGCTATAATAAAGAGTCTAAATTAATTATGGCTTGAACAACTTTGCATTTATTTCTCCCTCATCTAATGGTCCAGGCAGAAGCAACAGGGCTGATATGGCAGCCTCTGCTTGAGGTGTCAGAGATACGGGTCCTTCTGTCTTACTGCTATTCCATCCCTGGACTGTGTTCTTTCCTTCATGGACCAAAATGGCTCCCAACTGAATCGACTTTCTAGAATTGAATCTCTTCATTTCATGTTTGTCAAGCATCTATTCATGAGATCACAAGTCACATGGCAAATGTAGTCCTTAGAAGAAGTGACTCCGTATCCAACAAAAAATTGCATGACTGGGCCCAGCGTATTGTAACTCAGTGGTAGAGCTCTTTCCCGGCATGCAGGAGACCCTGGGTTTGATTCCCAGCACTGCCAAATAAATAGATAAAATAAAATTAACACATAAGAAAGGAAAACAATTATTGAAAGACAACTACTTGCCTATAGTGGTTAGATGGAAAGCAGGGTTTTGTTGGTTCTGTGTTGTGTGGGGGTTTTTATGTGTGTATGTGGTACTGGAGGTTGAATCCAGGTGTCATGCATACAAGGCAAGTTCTCTGTCACTGAGATACATGCCCATCCCTTCTTTATTTTATTTTGAGACAGGGTGGCCTCAAACTTGGGATCCTCTTGCCAGATTCTCCCAAATATCTGAGATTAAGGTGTGTGCCGCCACTGTGCCTAGCAAAAAGCAGGTTTGGTTTTTGTTTTTATGCTGGGGATTGAACCCAGAGGCATTGTACCACTGAGCTACATCTCCAGCCCTTTTTATTTTTATTCTTATTTTTATTTTGAGATAGGGTCTCACTAAATTGCTGAGTCTAGCCTCAAACTTGCAATTCTCCTGCCTCAACCTCCCAAGTCACTAGGATTATAGGCATTGCCGCATGCCTAGCAGCTACCACTTGATTTTAGAATGAACATAGCTTAATCAGATTTTTTTCTTTTCCTTTTTCTATGTGTTCTTTCTAGTTATACATGACAGTAGAATGTATTTTGACATATCATACATACATGGGAGTCTAACTTCCCATTCTGTGATTGTACATGATGTGGAGTTACTCTGGTTGTGTATTCATATAGGAACATGGGAAAGTTATGTCTGATTCATTCTACTCTTTCCAGTTTCCATCCCCTCTCCCTTCTTCTCACTCACCTCTGTCTAATCTGGTGAACCTATACACACACAAACACACACCCCTATTGTGAGTCAGCATCCTCATATCAGAGAGAACATCCCGCTTTTGATTTTTTGATATTGGCTTATTTCATTTATTGGGATAGTCTCCAATTCCATCCATTTACCAGCAGATACCATAATTTTATTCTTCTTTGTGACTGAGTAATATTCCATTGTATATATGTACCACATTTTCTTTATCCATTCATCTGTTGAAGGACACTTAGGTTTCATAGTTTAGTTATTGTGAATTGATCTGCTATAACATTGATGTGTTTGTGTCGCTGTAGTATGCTGATTTTAAGTCCTTTGAGTACAAACTGAGGTATGGGATAGCTGGGTCAAATGGTGGTTCCATTCCAAGTTTTCTGAGGAATCTCCATACTACTCTCATAGTGGTTGCACCAATTTGAAGTCCCACCAGCAGTGTATGAGTGTGCCTTTTCCTCCACATTCTCCCCAACATTTATTATTACTTGTGATCTTGATAATTGCCATTCTGACTTGAGTGAGATGAAATCTCAATGTAGTTTTAATTTGCATTTCTCTAATTGCTAGGGATGTTGAACATTTTTTCAGACATTTGTTGATTGATCGTATTTCTTCTTCTATGAAGTGTCTGTTCAGTTCCTTATTATTGATTGGGTTGTTTAGTTTTTTTTTTTTTTTTTTTTGAGTCCTTTATACATACTGGAGATTAATGGTCTGTCTGAGATGCAGGTGGCAAAGATTTTCTCCCATTCTATAGGCTCTGTTTTCATATTCTTGATTGTGTCCCTTGCTGTGAAGAAGTTTGATACCATCCCATTTATTGATAATTGATTTTATTTCTTGGGCTTTAGGAGTCTTGTTGAGGAATACGGTTCCTAAGTTGACATGATGAAGATTTGGGCCTACTTTTTCTTCTATTAGGCACATTGCCTAAGTCCTTGATCCACTTTGAATTTTGTGTAGGGTGAGAGGGTTCTAATTTCATTTTGTTACATATGGATTTCCAGTTTTCCCAGCACCATTTGTTGAAGAGGCTAACTTTTCTCCAGTGTGTGTTTATGGTGCCTTTCCAGTGTGAGATAACTGTATTTTCGTGGGTGTTTCTCTGTGGCTGCTATTCTGTACCATTGGCCTTCATGTCTGTTTTGGTGCCAATACCATGCTGTTTTGTACTATAGCTCTGTCGTATAATTTAAGGTCTGGCATTGTGGTGCCTCTGAAAGAAGTTATTTTTTAATTTTTAATATTGTGGTACTGGAGATTTCACCTGTTGTTTAGCTCTCCTCATGTCCCCTACCTCCCATCCTCTAATGCTTGCAGGTATATAAACAGGTTCCGCCAAGCTCAGCCCACAAGTCGAGAGGAACGCCAGCCTGTAGGTCCAACCCCAGATGACTTTTGGTGGCTTCGGCCAGAATCTCCAGATCTCAGCAGTCAGCATGCAGCAGGTACCTCCTTGCGCCCATCCACCCCCAGCCTAAAATCCTTCCTGATCAATGACCCCAGCAACCACTCCTTCTGGCCCCTTCACTCAGTTGAGGTTTCTCAGCAGGAGCCCGTGAACGGAAAGGAAAACTCAAAACAGCAATTCTCGTTCCCAAGGTGGCCAGCGCATCCCAGGCTGAGGCTCCACTTCAGGAAATAAAGCAGGTGACCTCCTCATTCACTCCCTCTTCTGTGTGCCTCAACTATCAGCACCAGTCCTGAGATAGAATTAAAGCCATTCCCAATTCAAGGAAGCTTAAACCTTAAAAAGAGGATTTTTTTAAAAAATTTTATTTTGCTAAGTGTAATTGCAAGCTCCAAAAGTAGATGCTTTCAGGTGTGGCCAGATCAAGGTGTTTTGGACAATATTGGGAGGAACTCAGCTTTTCTTGGTTCTGTGTTCCTCTGCTGGGTTCTGTCTCAGGCAGGCTTTCCCCTCACAGTAGCCAACATGGCCCCCAGCAGCTTAGGCTTTTGAGTACTAACTCAGCGACTTTAATGGAGAGTGGAGCTTTTCCATTGGCTCCATCCCAAACCCCAGGACTCACTCTTATTCACCCATCCTAAGTCAATCGCTGTGAACCAGAGGATAGAATGCTTTATTTAATCGGGTTCCCTCAGGAAAGTTGGTTCAATCCTTCAACAGTAGTGACTTGCAAATGAAGGGTGTGGATCCAAGAGGAAAACTGGGTCTCCATTCCCTGAGGAAATTGTAAGCTGCCACGTGAGGTACCAGGTGGAGTAGAAACCCGCACTTGAGGCCCTCTGTCCAGAGCCCTTTTCCCAGCAGCCTTTGCGGTGGGGAGTAGCCTCTGACCCCTCTCATCCCACAGAAGCTCAACACATGGAGCTCATCGCTGCTGGACCTGGAGACGCTAAGCCTGCAGAGCAGAGCTACCAGGCTGCTCAAACGCAGGTGCTTCCCCTACCTCCTCACCCTTCCCACTGCTCCAGCCACAGCCCAGCGCACTGCCTCGGAGACATCCAGTGCCTCACTTCTGCCTTCCCCTTGCAGCAAGGCCTCCATCTCCTCCTCCTCCTCCTCCTCCCTCAGCCCCAGTGATGCCAGCAGTTCCTCCTTCCCAGTCAGCTCAGATGGCCTCTCTCCCTTTTCCATGACCTTCACCCCTGACGCCAGCAAGAGCTCTGGCTCCAGAGCACCTGGTAAGTGGTGAGAGGCAAGGATTGAGGGCAGCCTGGGTTCAAATCCTATCTCTGCTGCTTACCAGCTGTGTGACCTTGTCCTCTCTGGGCCTCGTTTCCCCAACTATGAAACAGAAGTAACAGTTCGATCTCTCTCCTCCAGGTGTGGTGAGGATGAAATGAGTTCACTTAGCACAAGTCTGTCAATAGGAGCTGTCATAGCTGGGTACAGGGGCGCACACCTGTAATCCCAGCAACCTGGGAAACTGAGACAAGAGAATTACAGGTTCAAGGCCAGCCTGGGCAACTTAGTTGAGACTCTGTTTCAAAATTTTAAAAAGGGATGGGGATATAGCTCAATATAAAGCACCCCTGAGTTCCATCTCCAATACCAAAAACAACAAACAAAGCAGGAGTTGTCATGAGTGTGAGAGACCTAACGTTCTTTCTGCAGTTCTGAACACAAACTCCAATATCAGAAGGCTTTTTGCAGATTCGGTACCACATTGCGCCCATCCACCCCCAGCCTAAAATCTGGGGGTGCTAGCTAAGTGGAAACCTAGATGATTTAACAGCAGAATCTGACCTATGAAGCTATTTGTAGTCTGTATTGATCTCATTTAGGGTTAATATTATACATAATTCTTGGTGTATGAATATTACATTGAACCATATGGAATTTTCATTTTTATAAGTAAAAGGTGAATATTAGTCATTTTGTATGATTCCACTATATTTCTTTTTTTTTTTTTTAGGGGGAGGAAGGGTGCAAGGGATTTAACCCAGGGATGCTTTACCCCACTGAGTTAAATTCCCAACCCTTTTTATTTTTTTATTTTGAGATAGTGTCTTGACAAGTTACCTAGGTAGGTCCTCACTAAGTTGCCAAGGCTGGCCTCAAACTCAATCCTCCTGCCTCAGCCTCCCCAAGTCACGCACCAGTGTCTGGCTTGGTTCCACTATGTGTCAATATGTTTGAGTCTGATGTATTGCCTCAGACCCATGTCTATGCTGTATACACCATGCAATTTGGCTAAAGTATGCAAACTTTGGAACTCCAGATCAATTTCAGAGATGGGATGATAGACCTAGGTTACTATTACTACTGTCCCGATTGTTACTGTTACTTTGTGCTCAGAATGCTATCCTGGTCTCATAGGGATCCCCTGATTGGGTACAAGCAAGCAGAAGTTAATAGAGGTGTTCATGCATGTTGCATGATCCTACCCAAGGACTCACCTATCCAGTTCTTCACTCTTTCTAAGCTTTGTCTTTTATTCATCTCTCCCTCCTGAGCCTCAGTTTTCTCATTTGTAAAATGGGGATAAAATTAGTACCTACTTCATAAGTTATTTTGCAGTTAAATTTATTCAACTCATTTACATATTGAATCCTACCATGTTTGAGACCCTGTGAATAGGATTGAGGATTTCACAACATGAATACATGGTCCCTCCTTCAAAGCTTTCATGGCATACTGGGTGTGGGACAGAGATTTACCACATAACCCTCCCATATATAAGTAAAACAAGCAGAAATGAAGGATAGGCAGGAGAGTACTGTGGAGTTAGAAGTCAGGGAGGGCTTCCAGAGGTGCTAACTAAGTGGAAACCTAGATGAGGAGGGTGGGATGAACAGAGCCTTCGAGCATATACTACTGACTGAAGTGAGAGGGAGCGTGGTGCAGACAATAGACCAGAAAACGCAAGAGCCAGGATCAGACTAGCATAGGAGGGAGAGATTGGCAGGGCACCTCGAATGCTGGGCCGTGGAGGCATGGGGAGGCATCTGGTTGTAATGTTTAAACTGGGGATCCTCAAGAGAGGTCGGAGCATGGAGAGGATGAACTTTCTTGGGTGTTAGCAGACTTCCTCTGGCTTCTGTCTACATCCAGTGAGAGGAACTGCTGGTTTGAACTGGGCCAGAACTGAAGAGCGGAGTGGAGGGAAGTGTCCAGGTTAAAAGTAGAATTGCAGGATGTAGCAGGGGTGATGGGGGTCTTCCCCTCTGTGCAGCATCAAATGGTAGGGCTTCTGAGAGATCATGGTAGCTCTACTGATAGGACAAATGAAATGATGCCCAGGGTGGTAGAAATAATGTATGCCCAGTGGAACAAAAATAGCCCCTGCCCCCCCCCCCTTTTTAAGGTATAATTAGCTTGCTGGCAGGCAAACCTTTTTATTTATTTATTTATTTACTGTAGTTGTAGGTGGACACAATACCTTTATTTTATTTTTATGTGATGCCGAGGATCGAACTTGGTGCCAGGCAAGTGCTCTACCACTGAGCCCCAGCCCCAGCCCCATCCCCCTGGCCCTGTCCTTAATCATTACCATTTCCCCAGTACAGAGTTGGGGACTGGAACAGGGCACAATAAACAGTTCTTTTTGCATCGTGTCTCAAATATTGATTGCACTGAGCTCTAATCTTCACACTAGGGCAAGGGTAATGGACAAGACAGACAAAAATCACTCTGCTTGCATAACTGGCATTGTGGAAGGAGAGACAAACCATAACTAAGCCAGGAAATACCATTTAGTATGTTAGAAGGGGGAAAGTGAAAGGAGAAAAATGAAATAGGACAGAGGACAGGGAATAATAGGGCTGGTGGATGTTGCACTTTTGAATAGGGTAGTCGGGGAAGGTCTCACCAAGAAGGTAACATCTGGACAAGAAACAGAGCAGGAGAGGGAATGAAGTATGTGATACATGAGGGAAGATCAGTCCAGACAGAGGGAACCACCAGCACACAGTGGCCTTTGCCTTTGACCAATAGGGAGGTACAGCCAGGGGAGTGTTCATAACCAGGAAGGCCCTGGACACTCAGGTATTCACAACCTGACTCTGGCTGTGAGTCGGGCACAGATTGGGAGGACAGGAGAGCAGGGATCCCAGGCAGGAGCCCGTGGCAGTCACTATGATAGACCAGGTGGGGTGAGGGGGGCTGGACCAGGGTGAGGGCAAAGGAACTGTTCAGTGCTGTAACTCCCATATCCAGAACACATATGCGTGGCATGTAGTAAAAGCTCAGTAAATATCCATTGGATGATTGAAGAACTGAAAAATGATAGATCGCTCTCTCCTCTGACTTTGCCCCCTCCCCACTTCCCACCCCAGAGAGGAGCTGGCATTACTGAACAGCCTGTCTGAACAATCCTCTGGCACAGAGTGTCTGCACAGGCTATTGTTTGGTGGCTGATCACCTGACTCCTACCTCTCCTCTGTTTCCCTCACAGCAGCCCCAGTACCAGCCCAGGCCCCTACCCCTGCTCCAGCCCCAGCCCCAGCCCCAGCCCTGGCCTCCCCCCAAGAACCCCTTCCGCCAGAGGATGACATTTTGTACCAGTGGCGGCAGCGGCGGAAGCTTGAACAGGCCGGAGGAGGTGAGGGGGATGGAACCTGGGTGCTGCCCCGGACCCAAGCCCTCGGCACTCGGGTGAGTTGGAGGAAGGGGGAGCCTGAGGGGAGTTGAAGGAAGGGGGAGTCAGGGGGTTGTAGGACCTTCTACCCTCTTCCCCACCCTCTCACACCCCCTTCCCATCTGTCTACAGCCCTCTCCTACCCCTGCTGTGACGACCCAGCCTAAATGTGTCCCCGTGGGAGGCAGTGTGGCCCAGCCTGGTCCCCACGAGGCCTTGTATGTGGAGAGGCCTCCTGTTCCCCCAGGGTCTTCTCCACACATCATCTGGGCCCCCAGCCCCTATGGCTTCTTCTGGGCTCCACAGTCCAGCCCCTGGGTATCTGTTGCGACCGTTCCTCCCACGCTGCTGGCTTCCACACAGGCTCCCTTGGCCTCTACCCTAGCTACCCCCGTTCCCACTCCGGTACCCTCAGCCTCCATCCCAGTGCCCTCAGCCTCCACCCTGGCTCCCCTGGCCTCCACTCCCATGCCCCCCACTACCCTCCAGGGCCCAGGCCCTCCCTCCCCTGAACCAAGCAGCCCTGCCCAGCAAGAGAAGCTGGGCCCCAAACCTCGGAGGTCCAGAGCTCTGCGTCCAGAAGACTCTGGCGAGGGGCCTGACCTGCAGCTCAGGGGCGCCTTGGGTCAAGTAGTGACAGCTCGGCTGTTCCCTGACTTCCTGGAAGACACACCCCCTCGCCTTGAGGGCCCGCCTCCAGCGGCCACTGAATCTCGAAAAGTAGAAGTCACACACCCACAAGCCAAGGTTTCGCCCCCTTGCCCAGAGGTCACGCCCGCTCCCTCTGACCCTCACTGTCGGTCAAGGGCTCAGGCTCGCAAAGCCAAGGCCACGCCTGCCCCAGCGGGGTCAGTGCTTCAGAAAGTTAAAGCCACTTGCTCTGCTGAAGCCGAGTGTCCACAGCCCAAGGCCCCACCGCCTCCAACTGAGGAGGCGTCCACACTCCCCAAGGCTCCGCTGCCAGAGTTCAAGGCGGGGCCTGTTGAGGCCGTGGCCACGCCCCCACCAGGGGACCCTCAGCCCCCAGCAGAGGACTTGCTCTCCCAGGCCGCGCGACTTCTGGAGGCTGCAGAAGGTGAGCGCGTTGCAGGGGCCTCTGGGATCTTGGCGTCTGCCTCCTTGGAGTCCTGCGCCCCGGAACTCACTCTTTACCCACCCACCCAGACTCAGATGGCAGTGAGTTCCAGGACGACCCCGTGCTGCGGGTGCTAAGAGCTCAGAGGGCAGAGCTGAGGCTGCAGAAGAGGTAACCCTCCGTCACTGGGATCCATGACACTGAACCCCTGAGTCCTCTGAGACCGGGGCTGGGCACCCGACCCCCACCCCATCTACATTCCCAGAACCCCATCCACTGTCCCAGACCTGATCCTGAGCTGCCTCTACTTCGCCTTCTCCAGAAAAGTGGATGCCCAATTATCCATCCTGTTGGACCATGCTGAAGACCGAGGATCGTGGTTGCCTCCAGCCAGGTCACCCACAACGTTGTCCCCACGGAGGCGGCTGCGCAGGGAAGGAGTCTCTCTTGAAGCTAGACGACTTTGAATTGCATACGATCTATTTTTCCCAATGAAACTTGTTTTACCAGGTTCCTCTTTGTCTCGAGAAATGGATTATTGTGGAATGGCCAAGGGTTGTGCCAATTTCAGGAACCATCCCTCCCTCTCTATTCTGACCACTGAATCAAAATTTATTTTCTGGTTTCATCTGGGCTGGGGAAGTCTGGGCAAGTCTGAGACCTAATTTATCCGACTTCAACTCAGGAGTGGATCTTTCTGTCTCAGATGGACAAAGGGACTGTCCTCTAGATATGAAGCTAACTAGGGTCACCCAAGCGATGACCAGTAGTCGATATCCTCTTGTGTCAGCCACAGCCTTTGGTGCAAGTGATCCTTCCCTCTTTGAAGCACTTCTTTCTCTGCTTCCAGAACCTTCTCATTACCTGTTGGCTCTTGCCTCTTCATTGCCCCAATGTGTCAACTTTGGTGTCTCCCAAGGCTTTGACTTATCTATCTACACTCTCTCCTAGGTGCTCTTGTCTAGCCTAATGGCTATAAACTCCATCAATATTCTGATAGCCCCTAAATTTCTATCTCTGGCCTAGAGTTGAGTTTCTACATGGCGTTGCCCGCTCAACATCTCCACCCAAAGGTCTAAGTGACTTCTTTCAAATTCCATAGATCCTCAAATTCCTGAGCTCCCAGCCTCCCTGCTAAACTTGCTCCTCCTTCCTTTTCCTTAGCTCTGTCCTTTTAGCTGACAAGCCAAAGCCTTATAGTTGACCTTTACTCTTCTTTCCCTTCCACCTACAGTCAGTCAGAAAATTCTGTCATTTCTAGCTTTAAAATTGTCAAAATTTTACCCTCTTCTTCCACTGCCCTCACCTCAGTCTAGGCTGTCACCACCTCCTACCTGGACTATTGAAACTTATTATTAAACATGTTGGAGCTGAGGTGGTGGCTCAGTGGTAGAGCACTCACCTAGTACCTGTGAGGCACTGGAGTCAATCCTCAGCACCACATGAAAATAAACAAAGGTATACATACATAGAGTATAACTTTTAGAAAAATGTGTGTGTATTTTTTTGGGGGGAGGGGCGGGTACCAGGGATTGAACCAAGGGGCACTTAACCACTGAGCAACATCCTCACCCCCTTTTTATGTTTTTATTTTGAGACAGGTTCTCACTAAGTCCTTAGAGCTTTGCTTAGAGGTTGGTCTGGAACTTGTGATCCTCCTGCCTCAGCCTTCTGAGTCACTGAGATTACAGGCATGTGCCACCACATCTGGCTTATGTGTTCTTTGACACTTGCCAAGAGGTAGTCTACATTCCTTCTCTTTGAAACAGCCACTCAACCAATAGAGTACAGAGGAAAGGATGCAGCTTAACTTCCAAAACTCAGAAAAGATGATATCATCCATTTGGTTTCCTTTGGCTCCCTTTCTGATCCTTGTTTTAGAGTCCATGTTTAAAAAAATAAAATAAAACTGATTTACTATGCTGGGGATAGATTACACACTTATCAAACTCAGTGAATTTTATTGTAGGTACAGATTTATCACAAAAGAAAAATAAAGATATGCATGCTTAAATATTTAGGGGGCAGTATAACAACCTGTGCAATTTATTTTATTTTTTTAATACTTTTTTTTTTAGTTTTCAGCGGACACAATATCTTTGTATGTGGTGCTGAGGATCGAACCCAGGCCGCACGCATGCCAGGCGAGCGTGCTACGGTTTGAGCCACATCCTCAGCCCTGTGCAATTTATTTTAAAATGCATCAAAGATTAATTGGATTGATGAATGAATAAAGTAACAGATATAAGACAAATAAAATGAAATGTTAATGGCAAGATCTAACTGGATATGTGGATGTCCTCTAAAATTTTTCAACTTGCTATAAGAAACTTTAAAATAAAATGATGGAGAATATTTGACCAAGATTGTTATACCTGTCTATAAAAAATAAAAGTTGGGTTAGGATGGATTTCTAACAGCAGCTCTGTGTGTCAGAAATATGATTTCCTGACTTTTAGAACAAACCATACATTAAAGGGAAATAAACAAGAAGATAATAGCTGTTTAGACATAAGGAGAAATAAAGGGATGTTTATAGTAGAAGAACCTGGTCTAGTTGAGCAAGTGAGCTGATTCGTGAAGAAATACACTTAAGCCACTTAAGAATTATCTAATTCACAAGGGACCACCATAGTTACTACTGCTGGGTAAAAAACTACCCCCAAATCTTAGTGGCATAACAATAATTTCATTATGCTCATGTATTCTGTGAGTCTGGAAATTTGGAGAGGACAAAGCTGGGAATAGTTTGTCTCTGCTCTCTTCACATGAAACTCAAAAGGTGGCTTAACAGCTATGGGACGGATTCCTTTGGAACTTCTTCATTGACAGTCTGGCACCACTTCAAGGCTCAGAAAACTTAGACTAGACTCATCTGGGACTGTTGACTATAATGCTCATATGTCCTCTCTCCATTGATTTGGACTTCCTCAAAGTATGGCTGCCTCAAGATAGTCACACTTCTCAACAGGATACTTCACGGTTCTTTGTGTGTGTGTCACTGGCGATTCAACCTGGGCCAGCACTGATCTACATCCTCAGGCCAGTCTTGGTCCATTTTTTAGACTGTCTCATTAAATTGCCTAGCCTGGCCTCAGACTTGTAATTCTCTGTCTTGGTCTCTCCAGTGGCTGGGATCACTGGTTTGCACAACTGTGCCAGGCTGTTTTAAAATATTGTTCATTGTCTTTTTCCGTCAGCTTTGAGTTTCAATGTGGGTAGGGTATATTTTCCTGTTTTGATTGTTGATGTATTCACAAAATTGGTCGGAGTTTTTTATGAAATGAATGAGTGTATAAACCAACGTATGCTCTCTTGAGGTGAAGGCTCTTCTGAGGGTATGACCAACGACAGCGTCCTCTTGGAAAGAGCATTGTTACAGAGTGTTTCCTGGTCACGGCTCAATCTGTTGTAGGAATAATTGAGAGTGGCTTTATGGGAGGCAAGATCATGTTCTAGCATTTTGGGTTAAACCTTTCTCCAGGACAAAGGAGTCGAGGATGCTTGTAATAAGCAGTAGAAGGGGAGACGAGGAAAATGTCCAGTGGGTACGCCGAAGGCAAGTCGTAGAGGACTGAAGATTTTATCCCACGCAGGGTGTGCGAGGCAATAAAAAACGAAAGTGGGCGGAGCGCCCTCCTGATTCTGTGGGTGGGGTCAGGGTCTGGACTGACAAGGTGGGAGTAGAGGACCGAGGCTTTGAAAAGCTGCTCGAGGACTGGACCCAAACCCTAAGGCCGTGGGAGAATCCAATTAAGAATGTCGGAGTAGTGATCACTGAGAGTCAAGTAAGAGGACGGTCTATTGCTTAATATTAGAAATGTCGGAAGCAAAGGATAAAGAACCTGGGGGTGTGTCTCAGGAGGAGGATGACAGCCAATAAAAAGCAGTCATGGGCGTGGCGCTGTCAAACTTCGGGGGTGGGACCGAAGAGAGACAGAGCCGGGGGTGGTACCCAAGACAAAGCCAATGAAAAAACTCCAGGTGGGCGTGGCGTCGCCAAAAGGCCAAGGGTGGGGCCAATGAGAAGCGGCGCCGCGTCCTCGTTATACCCCCGCCCCCGTGGGGCGCGCGCTGAAACCACCGGCGGCCGTTAGGGGCGGGGTCTGCAGCCGCCCGCGCGCGGCTCGCGCCCTCCCCTTTGTGTCGCCATGGCGGCGGCGGCTGCGGCGACGAGGACCATGAACGAGAGGTCTAGCGCGGCCGGGGCCTGACGGAGGCTACGCGACTATGGTGGTGAGGGGCCCACGCGGCCGTCAGTCTGTCGGTCCGCGTGTCACTCTGTCCGTGCGCGGCCCCTCCCTGCGCGCCCCGCCCCTGGCCCCGCCCGGACCCTCGGCCTGCGCCGCCCCTCACCCTTCGTCGCGATCCCTCTAGTCCCCAGGCCAGGTCCTGGGTCCGAGCCCTTACATCGACCCCGCCCCCTCCGCGCATCCCTCTCCGCGCCCTAAATGGGGCTGACAGTGGCCGAGGACCCAGGCTTTCGAGGAGGGACTGGTCCAGGGAAGGACCCGCGCCACGCGAGTGGCCCCCGCAGGGGTCTGCTGAGGCTCCCTGGAAACCAGTCTCCATTCCAGCGCTTTCCTCGGCATCCTCATCCACACCCTCACTCCCCCCTGGTCTAGCCTCCTCCTCCTCCCAACAGCCCCTTTCTCATTCCTGAGCCCCACCCCCACCGGCTTCATCCTCAGCCTGACCCTTTTCTTCTCCTTCTCCCTCATTTTCACCCCCATCCCAGCTCCTCTCAATCCCCGGCCCCCCATCTGTCAGAACCCTTACCTTAGCCTTTCCAGCCGCTCCCCTCCTTACTCCACCCAACAAGCCAGTACTGTACCTCCCCTTGATCCTTGGGTCCTCTCCATCTTCTTGTGCTCATCTCCCCTCCTCCACTGGCTCCCTCTCCCACCATTCATCCATTCATCCATTTGTACCTCATTCCCTCACTCAACAGACATGCTCCAGGCACAGAGAGAGTCAGATCCCATCCTGCCTTGGGGAGCTTCATGGGCTGGCAGGGGACAGACCCTGAGGGTGAGACCCAGGGATGAACTCCGGGTTGCAGGGACATGGAGGAGGGAGAAGCTGGAGCCCAATGTGGGGAATCCCTGAATTCCCATCTGGTAGTTGGCTAATTTATTCATCAGGTTTTACCTAGCCCATGCTGTACAATGGGGCTGGCACTGGGCATTGCAGATCCAGAGAGGAATGCAGAATGATCTTCCCTATGAAGAGTAGCAACTGTGCCCACCTCTGTGCTGGGTGTGCTGGGGTGTCTCAGCCTGGGGCCCTGTTTCTGGGGAGATAAAAAGTCCAGTGAGGGAGATGGGCTTGTCACCAGATAGTGGCATCTCAGGAGTGCTCAGGGCTATGATGGGACAAAGTCAGGTAAAGTTGTGGAGCTTGGGATTGGAGGACCTCAGAGGATGGAGAGAGTCTAGAAGAGATGCCTGGCACAGCCTAAAAGATCAAGAAAGGCTTTCTGGAGTAGTACATATGTGAGTTGAGGCCTGAGGG